CTCCCTGCTGAGTAAAAGCTGTTTCTCTACAGCTCCTGGACCAGGAGATGGATGGCTTCATCAATTGGCTGCTGAGCACCTTAGAAGATGAACCAGGCTGGCTTGCTAACAGTGACAGCAGCATATCTGAGGATCAACATCTATCCCATTGCCCTGGCAGCAGCTCTGTCAACCCAGACATTATGCCACTTGATCACAACTGTGCCCTTCCTCAGTTCTTGCCTGTGCTGGAAAGCATGAGGTCTAACACAGCAGAAGGAGATGCTACCATGGACCTTGGTAAGTGATGTGTGTAGACTCTTGCAGTCCTGGCTACAGGCAGAAAAGCAGTCCCTTTGTATGGGTTCCAGGCAGTGATGGTGAGAGACAAGATTAGAGGCCTTCTGCTGCTCTAAAATTGCAGTTTCATGCTACTCAGCGCTGGCCGGTCAGGTGCTGCCTCACTCAGGCCCAATGCTTGACTCTCCTTTCCTTCCCCAGGGACAAGAGCAGGTTTGGAAGGCACAAGCCAGGAACTGGAACAAAACTCCAGTTCCCCTACAGCTGTTGCTGTGGATGCTGAACCCCAGTTTGTGCCTGGAGCCATCATGCAGGTATTGACTGCCATGCCTGTGGACTCCAGCCTTTGCTTCTATTCACATCTCTCTTTTTTTCCTACAGATTCAGACCACTCAAAGGCTTCAGTTAGTGTGGGGGTTTGAACATGTAGGACCATTGGTGTCCAGGTGCTATGTTTAGGGCAGTGTGCATCAAGGCTTGGTGTACTTTTCGTCCTTTTGGGTCTGGGGCTGCCCACATGCACAGCTGCCTCTGCTTTTCAAGTTTCCCCACTCATGACTGCTTGCAGGAGGCTGTTACACCAAAAGTGCCTCCAACCTATTTTTCCCTGCTTGCCTAGTGGCTTGTGAGCTTCATGCTTTTCATTTCCCTTAGATACTTTCACTACACTGTGGAAGCTGCCGCCTGCCTCAGCAGGCCAGACTTTGCCTTGCAGTTCTTTCAGTGGTGTGGGAGGGATAGAGGACACAAACTCTTGGGCTGGACACCTGGGGAGGTGGGATTGGCAACACCCTGGGATTGCTGTTAACAAGAAATCATCCTTGCAGGCTCGAGAGCAAGTTCTGAAGGAAATGCGTGGTAAGATCCGGAGCAAGCAGTCAGCTCAGGCCAGGAATAAGAGCTATGTGAATGTCCTGGAAAGCAGGTATGGGCACACAGCAGTGTCATCCAACACTGAGGGAACACATAGGTTCTTTTAGGGAACCTTAGCAGAATCATTATGGCACTGAATCATAGTTTCAATTAAATTGGTTTTGAAATTTCTTTTATTGTCATGATCAGCATGGTACAGTTTTGGGGATTAGAGTGGCACAGTTTTTCTACAAGCAGAGTCAATGTAGTACACTGCAATACAGGATCTATTATACAATTTAGCATAATTTCTAATCACCTACAAACCTAATACAACTGAACTTATGATTTCTTAATACATGATCAGATCTTAGTACACAGTTTTCTGTATCAATATAATGATCATAACATGGACTTGAAAATTATATAAAGGAATACAAGTCACTCCCTCAGTCATGGAAGGAAACAGGCAATGGGGGAGGTGTCCGTTTCCAGAGGGGTCCTGATTCTCACTGTCCAGCAGCAGCTCCAGTCCAAGTTCCCCCTTAGGACTTGTACTTGTTTGATTTTGTGGACACTGCACTCTCTGCTGTTGTCCTTCTCTGCTCTGTGACAGGAGTGTCAACAACATAGGGCTGGCTGGGTGCCTGGGACCTTCGAGGCTGGTAAGGGAAAGGAGTAATCAGCCTAGCACCCAGGAACCTTGAGGGTGGTAGGGAGGGGAAAAAATCTGGTTGGTTTGGTGCTCTGTGCACAGGACCTTCAGGGCCTGATAATGAGGGGATGGGAAGGAATACATGACCTACTCAGTCACAGAATGGCTGCTCCATTCATACATGACATTGGTTGTGCTGACCACATTGCCAGGGGTTGGGGTGCAAGGGGTGGCTATCACAAACTGCTGTGCTGGGGTCTTGCTACTCTGGGCAGAAAGTGAGGTTAATCCTGTGGGGCAACAGTTCTCTGCAGAGGGTTCAGAACCTCAGGACATAGCCTGCCTGGCCCTCTTATGCTTGGGCATGACTTAGAGTGTGCTTTGCACAAGCCAGATGGCTGACCTGCCAGGTCCAGTGTGTTTGCTAGGTCAACCTAGTTTGCAATACAGCCTGATGTTGTAGGTCTTCAAGGCTGGTGTGCTGCTAGCAGTGAGTATCCTTAGGGATTAATATGGTGCTTCTCCGAAGGACCATCCAGTGCTTCACCCCTCCCCAAATCTGGTGTGAAGTGTTGCTCTCTGGGCTTTCCTGCAGCTGGTACCAAGTAGACCCCAGCACCAATTTTGTCTTCCTCAGCCACCCAGAGGTGGTGACTGATTACCTGCGAATAGATCCTGCTGAAGTCCCTGCTGTTGACTAACAAAGCCTCTGTGTTTTCCCCCTTGCTTGTTTGACCCTTCCCAGGATGGCAGCTTGCACAGCTCGAAACCGTATACTGGAGAGGAGGGTGCAGCAGCTGCAGAGGAGGAACAGGTGAGTTCTTCTTGTTGGGTATGGCAGAAGATGTGGTGGGGAAGCCCCTTGCTCTTCTTGGGACTGTGGCCTGTCCCTGGTTGCAGAGGGTGGAGGGAATTGTGTAGCTCTTAGTCCAACCACTGTGCTAACCTTCATTATTTGCTCTTCTGCAGGTTACTGTTCAGGCAGTTGCGGGAACTGCAGGCCACTGCAAGGCAGATCACTCTCACAGGTACTGAAAGAAGTTACTACTTGGTAAGTGACTTCCGCCTTACAAGTTTGGGAGAGAGATATTTATTGCAGCCAGTGATGCCTCTCCTTTGCTGGGGTCCATGCTGATTTTTCTGTTTCCAGGTTATGGCTATGTCCTACTTCACTCCCTTCGACACCATCAACTCATCTGTACCACAACTGGTGAGTGCCCAGGTGGGGGCTGAAGTGTGGCTCCAGGTGAAGTACGGTGTTGCGGGGGAAATTTCTTGTGGGGAAGCCAGCAGCCCACTCAGTGTGAGTGATAAAGCAAGCTT